TGAATACTCCTTTCAAATATAAATATTTAAACTTTCTTAATTTCTTATTTTCCACCTGAATCACAAAGTAGTAATAATTTTTTTTCTTTAATAGACATATATTTTTATCATTTAGACTAAAATTTAAGCAGTTTTTTATGTTCTCTCCTTCCTATGTATATACATGGAGAATCATTCGAAAATACTACATCGATGACAGAGCTCTGATCAACCGTTTTTTTTTTTTTTTTTAACAAAATTGTGTACACGTGCAGTAATCTGGGAGACCAACGATTTTTTTTTTTTTATTTTGAGTTTTAAATTCTAAGCATCTTAAACCTTTGAAGAATTGTCAATTTTTTTTTCTTAGTTTATTAAACACTCAATTAATTTTATTTTATAGAAGTTGACATTATAATCTACAATAGTTTTTCTTTCTTCTTTTACTACGATATTAAATGTTAGACATTAATTATCCCAAAATCATAGGCTTTGCAATGGTATATTATATATCTGTATTACTACTCTTATTTCCGAAAATTTGTTTTCATAAGGAAAAATATTTTTCCTTTTTTCCATCTAGTTAATAATCATTTTTTTTTTCATTGATAATAATTAACCATTGTACATTAATATGACAAGGTATATATATATCTTGAATGTGTGCGCGGTTTTCTGTTGAAAACTCGAATTCAAATTTTCCTACGAATCCAACACCTTATGCATTTCATAAGTAGGGAAACAGGAGAAGCGAAAAGGTGTATTAGAATCAGAATTCGATATACAACTTATCAAATATTAATGAACATTACTTTTAATCAGAGAAAATTTTAAAAACTCTTGGATTTTTTTCTGTCCCAAGAACTCTGTCGAAACTTGGAGATATCGATCCTTACAATTGGCAACACTGGGAGAATAACCTTGTCAGAACCGATCATGTTTTATTCATTCGCTTACAATAAAAATGGCTGATATTATTTATCTTTGCTCGAGCTGTTGCGTTGTTACACTAAGTGGCTTCTCGCCGATAGAGAGCTTCTTAAGATAAATAAACTTCACTCCGACTGATCGATTTTTCATTAAAATAGTTTGAATAATTTGTGTGTCTTTCTCTGAAATGAATAAAACACCTAAGGTTGGAATTCGTTTTTATTGTGAGATGTGCCGCAATAGATGAAGAATGCTGCGTTTGTTATTGTGGTTCGGTGTTGTTCGCCTCGTTATCGGCTGCATTGTGTCGAGGAAACGTGCAAGGAGTGAAGAGCCGTAAATACTAAATTACCGAATGATTCACTGAGTGATGCAACCTTCAGCATCTTCGCAGTAAGAGACAAGACCGGATTAGAAACAAGGAGGAAAAAAAAGAGAAAGAAACATGGGCAGAGCGAAGGCTGGGCGCTGGTTGGTTACGTCAACGCTTTAAATACTATCACGTTGGAGCTTTACCACTTTAAAGCCCATGATCTCTTGCTTGTAGAGTAGATTATTCTAAACTTAGATCTAAGAAAACTAACAAATGTATTTATTGGAGCCGAAGTTTCGACACAGTTCTGTAGATGTAACAGTGAAGTCGAAAAACGAGTGATAGTAAAGGTTCTTAACAATAACATATTTTCATTTTTAATTAGTCTACTATTGCCTAAAATATAATTCAGGTAACGGCATAGTTTAGTATTTGTTAATCTTTTTGATCCATGACCTCCTGTCCTACATTATCTTTTAACAACACCTCACTTATCCCTATTGAACAAATCCGATACCTAGGACTCCACCTGGACAAACGTTTAACTTGGAATCTCCATACAAGACTGAAACGACAAGAAACCGCTTGACATTTCCAATTACTTCAGTACTTACTGGACGATCGCTCTAGACTTTCAATTAATTACAAAAGACTCATTATACATGACTATAATAAGACCTATTTGGACTTACAGAGTTGAGCTTTGGGGCTCCACTAAATCATCAAATTCCGCACGTATCCAATCTTTACAATCCGAAATCCTTCGTAAAATCCTTAATGCTCCTTACTTTGTCACAAATAAAATAATCCATAACGACCTGAAAGTTTCATATGTTTCCGAATTTTCCGAATTCAGATACCTATCCTTCCATAATAAACTTCGGAACCATCCTAATCCTCTCGTTTCTAACCTTGCTTTCTCCTCGATCCCTGATAACCTCCATAGGTGTCTGAGAAGAAAATGGCCTCGTGATCTCCTAATTTAGATACTTTATTAGAGTACTCCCCATGGGTAGATTCTCTATAAGCCTTGTCATTCCGTACTTTCTCTGTATCGCATTTATTGAATGTATATTAATTTGTATAAAGTTGTAAATTTCATAATAAATAATAATAATAAAAAAACTGTTGCTCATTAGATATTTAGGCGTCGATTCCTGTCGGGCTGTGGGGTCTCGACCTACCAATGTTTGAAGTGGTCCTATTCATCGCCACCAATATTTGGAATGATTCCTAAAACAAGCATAAAATAACTTCAAATAGTACAAATTATTATTAATATATGTGGATGGGCACTGTTGTTACTTGATGTTTCATCAGATATTCGGATTTCAGCTCTGGTTTTTAATTTTTTTAAATACGTTAATTTTTTTAAATAAAGATAGTTTAAGCTATGTATTAAAATATTTCTCTGCTTCACAAGGCTCTTAATAACTTCCTCATCACTGTGTAATTGAAGCAGCGGTGATGTCTAGGAGCTCTTAAATGGTGCCATAATTTAGGAAGTTTGTTTAACCAAAACTAAATTTGAGAGTATATGTAAAGTAAAATATATGCCGCCTGCTTCCCTTCATGGAGAAATTTATCAATTAAAATTCTTGCATATAAATGCAAGTAGCTCATCCGCATCCTCCATAGAGAGCGTTCGGTATTATTTGTTTACCTTATTACTATAAACTTCTTTAGTATTTGATGGGGGTTAATTGTCCACTACAGAGAAGTATATTATGGTTCCCAACTACAATAATTGAGACTATAAACATTATTTTAGGAAGTTATGATCTTTCTTAATTTAAAATAAAATTTATCTTTCAGCTGCTGAAGAGAATATCAAAAATAAAATTTATTTGTTCCTTTGGACTCCACAGATATTATCTGCAATTTATAGAACAGCAATTTTTTTTTTCGTCAAATCATTGTATATTTTATATTATAAAATCATTTCGTGATAAAATAATTGAAAAATTAAGGAAAACCATTCCACAATACATATCCTTTTAATAATGTATTTATTTCCAGATTTTTCATCGTCATGCAATAAGGTTTATATACAATTAGTTGTTTCGACAATTTCGCCATTTTCACTTAGGAATCAAATTTAATAAATAAAGCATTTGAAGAAGGCTGTTGGAGCCAATTTAAAAAATAAAAATCTTGTGAATAATTTGTTTACTCTACCTGTATACCCAGAGAAAACAATTTAATTTTATAGCAACACATAATGGCTCATCAGGTGGCCTACGAAGTTGTTTGGACGTTATTAGCTATTCTTTACCTTCCGCTTCGTAATTTATTTCAGAGTTTCCGCTGCAGGGTTAGCTAGTATTCAACAAAACAAAACAGAGTAACAATTACTAAAACATACCCCTACCTCAACTATTTTTCAGGTAATAGTGGACTAGAAATTCTGTTAGAATAAGCTATTCTATTATATAGGTATATTTTATTTTAAAAATAAGGAAAAATAACAATAATAAGCACTTTCATTGTAATTTAAAAAAGAGGACATATTGTATTTTTTTTTAATATTTGGCTCAGTCTTAAAAAAAAAATCTTAGAATATCAAGGATCAATGAAAAAAAAAAAAGTCTATTTTGAGGAGACTTAAACTTCAAGGGAAATTGAAGCCCCCTTTTCAATCCACTAGTTATATATAGGATATATTAATGCATTAGTAAACCTAGGAAAACAACATAATAATAGAAGCTAAAGATAATGAAAAAGTAATGTTGTTTATCAGTACCGAGACATACGGCTTTTCAGCGTTCTGGCTTCCTAAAAATACCTCAAAGGCCTTGAAGAATATTTATTACCGTCATTAACTGAGCGACAACATTCCTTCAGTAGAGTTAGCCAAACTGACTTCAATAATCCTAGTTTACTAACAATCAAATACTATCTCTAAAATTATCTCTGGAAAGCTTAAAAACAGCTCTTGCGGATATTTTTTAATTTATATATTTAAGGATATGCCGTTTAAGTTTATCTTTTATTAGTTCCATTTCGGGTCCAAAATTAATTTTAATGGATATTAAAAATATATTACAATAATCTCACTTAAGATCACATAATGAAACTTTTGATAATTAATCTTATTCTTTCGTTTATTCGAACTTTTTATTTTAAGTAATTGTGGGAAATTGTGTGCGACTATTGTTCAAGTCGGAAAATTGTGATGTAATTGTTTTTCACACAATCCAACCCATTGTGATTGATGTGAATAAAAATTTACACTTAATTTACACGTGTCTGAGGAAACATTGTTTGAATACTTCTTTTTTTTTATGAATAACAGAAGAAAGTCTTGACCTTCCGGAATAGTTTACAATTGCTATCTTTGCTATTGCAAACTCTTTCTTAGAGGACGCGATACTCTAGGCCACAGAGTGCCCGGTTCTGAACGTTGTAGGTTCGATTCCCTCCTGGCTCACTTAATATTTATTCCTCCGCGGCCATGAAAATTAATCTTGACACTTTCACTCTGGTATGTACCCGTTTAAATATCCTAAATGTAGCCAATAGTGCTCGGCAATAAGACCCACTACCAACTAGCTCCCAATAAATTCTTTTCTTGAATAAGTTCAACTAATTTCAATTATTATCATTGATCCCTTTATTTAACTATCGTTGCATATAAATTATTATATTTAATTATTTATCAATGTTATAACAATATACATATCAACCTCAAACTAACTATTTCCATTAGACTCTTCTTCCATTCCTTTATGCTTATCGCCTTCCATCAGTCCTAATCCGACCCAGGCTCTGAGCCAATTTATTCTCCATTGTGCTGGGGATCTACCTTTTCTTCTGCCTCTATCCTCAGCAAGTCCCTACTATTTATCTGCTTCGTCCATTCCCTTTTTTTGTGCTCCTGGTCGATCTCCATACGTCTATTTCCGCTGATGGTACATTTTTTCCTGCATTACGTATTACCTGTACCTTGCGTTACTTCAGATAGAAGAATATAACTTGGGAATAATATTCCAGCCGTTGGTAATCGTTGAATCACTCGCTTTTAGTCAGTCGCTCTGATTAACATTCAAAACCTAAGAAGTCAGAGAGTCTCTTTTCTTTAATTATCCTCTTCATTTATGGACAGATTCGACGTGAATATATTATTTTACACGCGGCACAAAACTCAATTTTCTTTTCTTTTTTTTTCAATTTTATTTATCTTATGGTAGTGCAAAAGAATAATATACATTGTATAAATCTAGAAATTAAAAATATAAATGCGAAAGTTTTATTTGGAATAGTCTTGGACAGGGTTCTCCAAGCCCCAAGATGTAAAATTTACATCAAAGTCTGAAAAAAAAAATTGTTTTCATTTTTATTGTAGAGAATTTTCAATAAAACCCATCTATAATTATATAAAAATTAGTACAATTAATAATGAAAAGATTGCTAAATGAACCGAAAATATGTTCAGAAGCAATTAATTTAAGAAGTTTCTAAATTACGTTAGTAGGACTTAAAAAAAAAATTGATTTTTTTGGTATTATGTACCGATAAGTTTATTAATATCACCACCAGTCATGGCCCATAGCACAGTGCAGATTTCTTTGTGGCCCGAATGCCAAAATGTTCAAACTCCTCTGGTCTTAATTGTATAAAGGTTAATGTATCCTCGTAAACGTTATTCTTCTTTAAATAACCGATTTTAGGATCATTGATTGTGATAGAATAACATTATTTTTTTTCATATGTTATCCTTCATAAAATTATGATACTCTTATTTTAAAACAACCAATATAATTTTAAACATAAAGCGACACTTGATATAGACAAGTTCTCTAGAATCCTCATAAAAATACTTGCATTGCTACTAAATAAATAAATAGTTTATACGACTTATAGCTAATGCATTACACTGTTGCAATTTTCAGTTTTATTGAGTTTTATCTGACAAAACTTATTTGTCAGATAATAGGACAAGGATGAGAGCCAGGAGGGCTTAATTTTCCAAATTTTAAATTGCTAGGCTTTTGAGCTTAATTTTACCGCTTCTTGTTATACCTGCCTACCTCTCGTCCCACCATAAAATTACAACATATAAAAAAATTTTAGATAATATATTTTTAAATATATATCACCTGATAACATTAAATCTTTTTATTAACTGAATTATCATGAAAACAACATAAGCTAAAAAAAATCGCTCGAAATTTACCGCCCCTTATATTCTGCCGCCTGGGGCACTTTTATCCCCCTGGTTCTCCAGTTAGTAGCCCTACGTTTGATCCAGTTTGACCAGTGCTTCTAGCTTATTCATTACATTGCATACACCAACTCGTGCCTGGGGACATCCTCCTTTGTTCGTGGACTCCCCAGAACTTGTTCCTTTCTAACCCTCTTGGAGATTGGACAGCAATGTCGTCTTGGTAACAGATGAGGTGAGGGTGCCCTATTTGAGCCCGTGCTTCCTAGATCTAAATTTCAAATTAGCTCTTCTATCTCCACTAGCAGTTTCCTCCTCCGACAGACTGCTCTAACTCCTAGTAATATTTTTCCTATAGTTCATACTTCATTAATTTTATCCCCAGCTCGAGGAATAGCTTTGAGCTAGGAAACTTGATGGCTACCGATACTAAGGTAAAAGTTGCGGAAAGTCATCTCGGTAATCTTGAGGAAAAGTTATAACCTCCGGGTTATTCAATTTGCGGGGCGGTGTTTGCCCTGGGGGCAGTTGGACCATAATCCCCGAAAATTTCCCATCCGGGGTTAGTATTACTTTTTCACCTCATATATTTTTTATAACCTTTTACATTTACTGCTTGAAGAAATTTTAATGGAAAATTATTTTTCTTAGAAGCGGGATTAACAAGGTTTCTTCGGTCTCATTACTTGGTTATTTTAAGAATGCTGTAGATGCCTTGTCTCAGGTGATATAAATAAATTGATAAAGTATATATTTTTTTTCGTGAATTATGTTATTTTATTTATTGCCATCAGTTTTAGTAGTGTTTAAATATTTTTTAATTACAGGAATTCGTTCAACGTTCAACCGCGGTTTCACTAGCAGTAAATCTGGACTATACATTTCTGTATTATAAACCAGTACATGACGAAGTCCATTCGATTAAATGAATAACATGCGATTTTTAAAGAAAAAAACAAAACGTTTATTGTTTGCAAAAAAAATTTCACAAACCAAATATGGAGGTCCAATTTTTTTTTAATTTATTTATTTAATGGAATTTACAACTGTATAAACAATACAACTAATAAAAATGGTATTTATGAATAGTTTTATTTGTGACAAAATATGGGGCATTAAGGATTTTTCGAAGGATTTTGCATTGTAAGGATTGGATACGATGGGAATTCGATGGTTTGGTAGTGCTCCAAAGCTCAACTTCGTATTTCCATATACGTCTTATTATGGTTAAGTAGATGAGTCTTTTGTAATTAATTGAAAGTTTAGAGCGTTTGTCTAGTAAGTGTTGGAGCAGTCGGATAGGTCCAATTTGAATGGGGTCAAGATATTCACTTTTTTGATTGAGTTATCGATGGTTAAAAACGAAAAGCACCATTCTTCAATAGATTTAGAATGTGAAAAACACTCTATTTCAGTCTTATAATTTATTGGTTCGTATTTTAACTCCTCAGAACAATGTAACTATTCAATCTAAGTTTAATGAAATCAATTAAAAAAAAAAAAAAAATTAACGTATTATTTTCTTTGACAGTCCTTAAACTGATTTAAAAAAGTACAATATATTTAAAAATTGCCTTCATCATATTATATTTATTTTTTAAATCAACACATAAATTTTAATAGTTATCGTCTACTGAGTAGTTAAATAAAAAAATACTAGTATAGGTAGGAAAGTAAAAAAGGATATTAGTTGCAAGCTTTTCTTATCTTTTTATCATCCAGTATAGAAAATTTAAACCAAGATTTTTTTCTTATGAAGAGAACTAGCTTTTGTCTAAAAACGCCATAAGCTCGTTTTATAATGCAACTGTTGGTACACGTCTGAATAAACTGACGCCATAAATAGATCTAACTGAACAAAAATATTTTTTTCTTAAAAAATGTCTCTGAGTTTATTTTTAGGATTTATATGTAGGATGTATTCTATAAATATTCGCGACAGAGTTTTTCACTCTTTTTTTTTATACGAATTAAGAAGATATTTAGCAAAATCATGAAAAATCCCAAAAAATTGGTCTAAATATATATTTTACAAATTGTTTATGTGGAGGAATGCGATGGTTTGTAGAACTGAGTATTAAGATGTTAACTAAATTTTGAGGAAATCATAAAATAATTTACTATCGGATTGCAATCATTCCTCATCTGGAATACAATAGAACCCTCTATTAATAACCAACCTATCATTTCTCTAATTCAAACCGCGAATGGTATGGCAATCTGTGCTTTCACTTGGGGCGAACGGATATGCCAGGGATTGGATAGCCCTGTCCGAATCACCAAGCTATGAATAAGCATTCTATTTACCGGTGTGGAATCAAACCTGGCCATTAGAAAGCCCAGGATCTGTAAATCAGACACGATTTGAGCAGACCTCTTCAATAATCCCCTCAACAGTTATTGTCCATCAATAATTCATTTCGTACACGCTCCAGCCATTGTCTGACAGTAATTGCAACTCCATCTGAATTTGTAATTAGCAAAATACGGCTGAGTCAACACTCCTGTTTTAGGGTGTAGGATCTGTGAGCATTTTACTTTAATAATAATAGTCTCCCTCCATCGCCCCTCCCTCCCCTCCCTCCCCCCGGGCATGTGCAAACCTGGAGGGGCGCTCGCTCCTCTTTGGGGATTGTAACAAAATGCAAATCATTTAATTTAAACCAATATTAGTATGTTAATTGAATGTCGTATGAAAGACAATTCAAGTATAAGGTAATAGAATTTTTTTTCCTGGGTGGGTGTTCATGACGTAAATGCTCTGTTATAGATTTGGGGAAAGTGTCAAGAAATTTAAGTATATGATATACATAAGATGGACATAATGAAATTCATGATTAAGTTAATGTAAGAAGAAAGCACTAGCGGATCCAGGATTTAATTTTGGGTGCCTTCAGCCCGAAAGCTTTTTTTTCATAAAAATAACGATAATTACTTTGAAAAAAAAAAAGAAACTAGCTATATATATGAAATGGTGTTTAAGTGATTCCTAAAGCCCTTTTAAATATAATTTCAAGGACAATAATAGTTTAAGAAATAATTTTTAAATATTTTTTTCCATAAAACATGGTTATATCTTACAATTTTTTTTTGGGGGGGGGGAAAGCTTCAACCCCTAAGCCTCCCCCCGTAGATCCGTCCGTGGAACCAAGTAAATGTCACAATTTTTCGTTGAGACAATTTACATTAAAATAAGGCACTTAAATAACTAATTTCAAATATACAGGTAGCATAAAAAAAAAAAAAAATTTGCCGTTATTTTTGCCAAACATTTTTTTAAATTTAATATGGATTCATTAATACTAGTGTCATAAAGAAGTCTAGATGTGTCAGAATTTTGAACAGTGCATAACAGATTTTCTATTGACCTATGATTTAGATTTAGTTAATTTTATTCTTCCGCTAATTAAAACAGTAATGTTAACCTATTGACAAACTGCATATAAAATTTGAATTTATCTAATTTTCACATCAAGGTCTCAACTTATTGTTAATAGCTTGGAATGCTTTTTACTTCTCAAAAAATTAATTAGTTCATTCCTGCTCTCAAGCCCTCTTGAAATTTAAATGACTGTTATCGTGGTTATTGTTTTGTTTTTTTGATGGAAAAGTGGTCATTTAATGGAACGTTTTATGGTACTAAATATATATATATAGTATTGTGTAGAATATTTTGTCTCAGAAAGCGGACCGAATGGAGTGAGTTTGAGAATTTTAATAAATAATAATTAATTAATTAATAAGTAAATAGCTACTGTTAGTGCAAATAGTAATATGTAAAAATTGAGTTTTTACTATGATTTCTTTATGATTTATTAGTATAATTTCATATTTTATTTCTCTCTGCTATTTTCCTATTTATCAGACTACTTATTGCAGTCGCAGACTTTTGCATTAACAGTAGCGAAATAACATCGCGTCTTTTGACATAGGTATAAAGTTTTTATGATGGACGAATTGTTATACATAAACCTAATAAACGGCGAACCTAATCTCTCCTAAGTGATAGGCCGTGAGTTAGATGGGATTGTCATATCTGGTCTTGAAAGATTTTGGTTGCGGTGGGGTTCTTGGGAAGGATCGTTTTTCTATGACTTAAGGCTCTATGAATGGGTCTTCCTTTCGAAACTCTTGCAGAATCTTTTTAACAAATATTTCTATCCCATGTAAAAAAATATTTTTTACTGCTACCTTATAACTGTTTAGTGGCATGAAAGCTGAGCACGCTTTGTCTGGCAACCTGATAAACTCAAGATTACGAGTTCGTGTCTGGAGACTTTTCCAGGTTGTCGAGAACTTTTAACTCTGGCATTATTGCCTTCTCTCCTGAGCCGGTAGAATACCTGTTTAGCCGAAAAGGTGAGGAAGGGATGGAAAAAAAAATGTACGTTATTAATTTCACACACTATTTCTGACCTTACCCTTTACGAATTTATAAAGATGGATGGTTTATTAATACAGACAGTTATTTTTAAGATATCTTACTAGCAGTATTCTCCCCCTGGTCCCAGTCCACCCTCGGTAATCCTATACCTCTCGACTCCTGGAGCACCCTCTACTTCGCCCTGTCTCTCTTTATTTTTGCCCTCAGCCCTTGTCGTGCTGCGACAGTGTTTTGTGCCCAGGAGCCCCGGTTACCCCATCGATCACTATTTTATATTATCGCCGTCATCTCGGCGGCGTTTAACCTTGTTGGCTTTGTTAAATATTATATTAGTTCTCCGTTATGGACATGCGAGTTCTATCAGCGTAGTTTTTGTACCATCAATAAATAGTTCACAAGCGTGGCACAACAACATAATAGCTATACGTTTGGTAACACTGCATTTTTTTACCTATATGCCTAAAAAAAAATTAATTAAAAAAACAGACAAATCTGTAGATAACCCTATCTACCCTAAAAGAATGTACTTGCTTGCATAAATATCTTCTTAAATACCTTGGAGATTGTTAGAGAAATTTACGTCTGCCATTATTTAAACTTTGTGTAATAGTCAGGTGTGTTCCTCTAGAGTTTCGGGCTTCCCAATAAATATGTTAGCACTTTATTTTAGGATGTTTAGGATTTCTTTAGCTTTTAAAAATAAAAATAAATTATTAAAGGTTTTTACTTTTTCAAACACTGACAATTTATATTAAACATATATGAACACGAACTCACACAAGATAGGGATATAAAACCACAAAATTTGAAAATATAATAAATTTTGTTGTCAGCATTTCGCGCTCAAATTGTTTCAAAACATTCACAAGATATAGCCAATTAGTGGTAATATTAAATAAATTATTTTAAATTGTTTGTTGCTTATATTATATATTTCATTAACGAGTATTTTTTTCATTCGGATTTACCCCATAAGTAACATAATGTTGTTGCTACAAAAAATTCAGTTTATATTTTTCAGATTACTGCATTCCTAATGTTGTATTTTAAATGGACTATTACCTGCATTTTATTTCGTGTTTAGCTCAGTGGCTCGTATGACGGTAATACAGTATAAATTGTATGGAACAGGAGTATTTGTGAGGTTGCTCAAGCGTTAGAAGCTTCATTTTAAACTTAAGTCGATACTCTCTGTTACATACTATCTTATTTTTCAATGTTTTCCTTATGAAAGATTTTTCTCTGCCTGCCAAGGCACGGAACTCTCTATTGTTAGTCCAGGCTTAGCAGGAATGCCTCAGGAGTCAGCAATCGCTCCAAGGTTATTTATCATTTACGAACATGATATTGCATACAAGTTCGAAACTCTTACTGCGACATATACGGACAATACAAAAATCTTAACAAGATATTAAAATACAATACAACACTCACAGACTCAACAATATCAGCTATTAAAATCTCATGACTGATGTAAACTCTTAAAAAATTTTGAAAATGAAATTTGGAAAAGATTCTACCGATACAAATCACAACACATTACTTTCAGTTTTCACTCATGAAATTCTCCCCCCCCCCCCGAAAAAAAAAAATATATATGCTACAAAAAAGTAAATCTCGAAAAATGATTAATGGGTTAAACGTTAATGTTTTACATTTGACATGGGTGACTGGAGCCATTTATTTTATTTATTTATTAATATTTGTCAATAATTTTAGTAGAAAAGTGAGGAAAAAAAGATCTTTTGTTTCTCCACTTAAAGTTGTAGTTTTCCTCTCCCTGCTCCCTCTCTAAAGGTGCTTGACCGGGTATTTATTTGTAATGCTCTATCCCTAATCCTTTTGAACTGGCCTCTGATCTATATAGGCCATGTGCAGGCCTACATTGACGCCAACGCCAGAAATAGCGACGCAAGCGGACCGCGTCCTCTGGGGGAATATCAAACTGAAGAAAGTAATGAGGAAAGTAGGACGCCCGGGACAACAATCGGACTCGAATAGCTCCTCCACCTAGTCGGTGCTAGGAGTAGAGCCTTCTCGCCTAAACTCTATCGAGTTTTAGCCCGCCCTGACAATCCCCCCATACCTAGTGTCACGACATTCTATTCCTGTCAATATCACACGATTCTGAAAGAGAGGATCGAATGCAACGATCATCGCAATAGATTGGTCCGAAATTCGCTCAAAGTGACCATTATATCATTACGATATTACTTATGTCGTTTTCCTGTTGGTCGTTCTCTTGGTTTTGCCATGAAAATAATATTATTTCAGCGGATCAGATTATTTTTGTATTCAATTAACTAATTTCATTTCAGAACATCCCTGACATAGTATTGCGAAGTTTCCTCGAGCCAACAATGAAGGAATCCGAAGTAGCTGTCTTAATAAAAATTATTCTCATGTCAATTTCAACATCCAGTTCACTAATCCGAAACTATGCCTGCATTTTTTTACCGATATGCCTAATCAAAAATTGAATTAGAAAAATAAAAAAAGACTGCAGAAGATATAACTCTACCTAAAGGAATGGACTTGCATATCTTCTTAAACACCTTGGTAAAGTGTTAGAGGAATTTACATCAGCGAATATTTTAACTTAGTGTAGTAGTCAAGTGTTTTCCACTACACTTTACGGCTTCCGGCTAGTAGATATGCTAGTACATTCTCTTAGGATGCTTTGGATTTCTGTATTTTTTTTTTTCATTTCATTATTTTAACATTTTTACTTTTTCAAATATTGGCAAATTATATCGTACACATATGACCACGAACATAGTCATGATATGGGGATGAAATCACTATAAAATGTTGTTTTTTTTTCAGTATTTCAAATTGTTTCAAAACATTCACAAGATCTCGCCAGATGACCGTGAGCCATCGAACTTATAATTCGGACCTGCCATTCACTAAAAAAATCACAACATACCTTTTGGCAGACAAGCCAAACATATAACTGAGAAAGGAAACAGTCCGAGGTGGCGGTCATAAAAAGACAATAATAGTGAGAAAAAATTATTGCATTCCTAGGTAACGTTTCGACCTAACTTAGCAGGTTTTCTTCAGGAGCTAGCCAGTTTCAACCGAAACTACATCCTGCATACACACCCCTGAAGAAGACCTGCAAAGTTGGGTCGAAATTTTGGCTTCAAGTAGAATAGTTTTTTTCACTATTTTAGTCTATTTATGATTGCCACCCCGGGCCATCTCGTTTCTCAAAAACATACAACGGTCAACTATCAAGTATTCAATATCAACCAAACATATAACTCTACTTGTAGCTCCGCCATCATCGACTAAGATGAAAACATATTGTTATTTTAGATATACAATTTTATGATCTCAGGCTCAGAAGAATGTTCTTTGCTAGTTATACGTTGTTGTTGAGTTCTTATTAACCCTCATCTCGTCTCAGAGATCTTTGCTAAACTTCTGGTACCCTGCGCTCGTCCGATCCAAAGGCTGCCGAAGATGGTTCACGGTAATTATCACTTAGAGGAGATCCGCTGACGTGTTAATTGGCGGGAACATTTCGGTAATAGGCAGTAGACGAGATAATTAGACAGAGCTATCGGTAGAGATCGTGCCGCCATTGTTGGCCGTACCGTAACGGTACCTCGGTTCCCATCAGATGCTGGGGTGTTCTCCCAGATAGCGCACCTCATTTACATCCCCGCGCTATTTAAATAGGATGCACTTTCTCCTAACGGATCCGCCCCCGCACGGTCGTTAGGGGCAGAGGCAGGATTGTTCTTCTTCCAAGGTTCATCATCTCAGGATTCAGAGCTTCCTTCTAGATAATCACCTCCTGCAAGAAAGGAAAGGCAGCCGCGTTCAAAAGCTCTATGTTTTTTTTTGTTTTGTTTTTACATATTCAGTGCTAGAACAACGCATATGAGAATGTATGTTGAATTATAGGTAGAGTTCTCGGAATACTTCTGTTTTGCAGCATTGTCCGCTTCAACATTCTCGAATCTTGCGATGCCGGTTCGAATCGGCCTGGATGGATTGAAAATTATTTTTGGACAGTCTAAGGGAATAAACGCGACCTTCCCACTCTGGTTGGAGTATGTTTGGTTTTACCTCTAAAACAACATTTCAGTTTTCCCCGTTTACTATAAAAGGTGAGGTAGGCGTTGCCGAAAAATAAAAAAACATCAGTATTGTAATTGTATACAAACTTTATTTTGTAATGATGAACTTTAAGAGAGAACGGGAGGCGCCGAACTGTCTGTCGGATGGACGTGTGGTCATTTCCCATCGGACTGACCCACGGACGGGGAGGAGGGGGCGCAATATCCGGCGGAAGGCTGCGGTGAAGACATTCCTCCTCGGACCACAGCCTCATTGATCCCACCGCCTCTGGTATATTTAGCTTCGTTTCCTTTGACGGGGCCTCAGCTACACTCCCTCGAGCGGAAAACAGTGTTAGCCAGATCTGCGGCGGTTTAGCGGCGACCCTGCTTCCATCCGCATGGGATTGTTTTATAGAGCGGATGTTAAAAAATATCATCGATCTACAGACTTTATTGTGAACTCTTTTATCATGCAAAGTGCATGTCAGCATAATCATCTACGGGGGGAAAAAAATCATCATATTTTTCTAAACAAATCGTTACCGTAAGTCCTTGAAATGCGTTAATGCAGAAAAAGGAAGTGACTGGCCAGAAATAAGTATCAGAAAGACTGACCATAAAAACTCGCTGATATATGAAAAAATATTCAAAAAAAGTTTGCCTTGACTTTTTAGAACTTCGCTATTCTTGTTTTTGTAGCTCTTCCTTAATCTCCCGATATTATTATTAGAACTGCTGGGATGTTATTTGACGATATATATAAATATATATACATATATATATATATATATATATATATATATATAGGCCAGAGATTGCTTAACAAATAGAAAGAGTACATTACTAGATGTAATTTTTTGTTAGTTATTATGATTATTTTCTTTTTTAAATTTAATTTTATGAGACATGTATTCTAGGATGCTATGACAATATTAACCAAGTGCAGGTTGAACATTACTACACAATTTAATATATTGTAAATTTGATATAAATAAATTTGAGAGATTTACAGCTTTGTTTTGCAGTTTTTTTAATATATCTAGTGGTTTTTGCCGCTCTGATTATTAATTTTTATTGATTAATAATAATCGTTAATTAATTAATTATTATAATCCCAAATTGAATTAGTAAGTGCACCTACTAACAACTCTTACTTAGGCTGGAACTGTTAATTACTCGTTTTATTTCACACTTCCTCAAATTAACATTTTAGCGTTAATATTCTATTGATTTTTCTCGTAAAAAGTTCTTTGTCACTTTACTGTTATATGAATGTAATACATTTGCTCATTTTCATATTTATTGGCTCATACATATTCATATTTATTAGTATTATGGCTTATTAATATATTTATTTATACATTGTAGATTGATGGTTGACAGTAGTGAATAAATGAAGAGAAGAATAAGAAGAAGAGAAGAAATGGTTGGGATGATCATTAAAAAAATATTGAAAATAAATATAATTTATTTTTACTATTATTTTTTTTTTTTTTTTTACTGCTCTCCCTCACCATTCTTCTCTTCATTCATTTATACACGATTCGATTTTATTATTTCATGCAATAATTTTATTTTATATTCAATACATATTAATTATATATTTATTTAATTTAATATTATTAATTAAATATTCGTACTATCTTTATTACATCCATTTTTATTATTAGAAAAAGGTTTGGTCAAAATCGGCTTTGTTAGTGTAATATCTCAACTTTCTCGAAGAAATTAAATCTATCTGCTCAACTTTTCCCGATTCACTCGATGAAAATCTTGATATGTTATTCAATAATAGTTATATATTTAATAAGTTGATGTATATAATGATGCCTCTATCTTAAAATATTAATCCGACTATATTTTTTTATTATGATTATTGTTATCATTTATTATTTTAATAATATCTTCTCATTTATCTAATGCTATCTTCTTTTTTTTCCGTTATCGGCAAAGAAACAATAATAAAAATTAAATCTGGTGATCTAAATTTATACGGAATTGTAGAGCACTAGGGTAAAGGGATTTTTTTAATTTGGAGCTATTCATGTCTAAAATATATATATATATTTTTTTTTCATCTTAATACAATTTCTCACAAAATTCCTTTAAAAACTACATTTGATCGATTTTTATGATTTTTTTTTATTTTTACTTTTTCGTTCAAAGTATGAAGAGGTTTAAGGGCAGTTAAAATTTATGACGTTTCTATATGTAAAAAATGGCAGGTCTGAACTTTTACTAACACTCAAACACGTTTTACATTGTTTTTTAACGGTTTGTAGGTTTTTAATAGTTGAAATTTTTTTAACGAAGTTGCGTAAAGTCAACACAGCCCAGTGGATCAGACACTCGAACGTAATTAAGATTCGTACTTGAACATTTGTTTTTCTGAGCCATTTCTGTTGGTAAAGAAAACAAACGGCCGAAATGGAAGGGCACTCCAAGGCTATGCAAACATTGACAGCGTTGTGGAGAGGTGCCATTATTTGTAGACAGGACGACAAGGGATTGGCCGGAGGGTCCACCAATCAGGATCAACCTTGACCCCATTGGTGATTGGGATTGGCTATCGCAGGTGAGCCTCTTTCGCAGCGTTTCGTCGCCGCGTCGATATGTTGTAGCTATATTTAGATCCTTGTTGTCTGAGAGCAAATATGTTTAGCACATCTTTGTTCGATACACCTCCTCAAAAGCTATTGTTCTGTACTGTAAAAAACTTAACCAGTAATATAAAAATGTATATAAATCTTTTTCTCGAATTGGGTTGAAACTATTTTATCAAGTAATACAAAATTGTGTCATAATAAGGACAACAGTTATAGTGAAAAAAGTGTTCATTCACGCTATATTTTTTTCGTTATCGGTTTCTCCATATTTACAGATAATATAAATAAACTAAAATAAAATAAACTAGGGTAAGTAAAGTAAAACAAAACCTTAAACTCAGACATAACTCTACAAAATTTGTACAATCAGCCTCTGGTCTCTGCTACTAAAAGCTAGTTGAGATTGAGCGAGAGCGCTCTAGCCCCATAAACATTTTTTGTTTTGAGTGGAAAATAAATATAGCTACTAATAAAATATGGTTATTACCGGAACTCCAGTATATATATATATATATATATATATATATATATATATATATATATATATATATATATATATATATATATATATATGTATTTATGTATAGGTATATATATATATATATATATATACCTGTATTTACGAAAGTTCGCGGGGCCTCTGCCGTTCTAGCCTTCAAGAAGGATTGGAGGGATGGGTAAAGCTAGAGGGTGCTTTCGGATTTGGATGATGAGTAAGGTTCTGGTGAAATTTAACCTCCGCCAACTACCGTATAGCTAAACAAATTAGAATAAAAACCTTAAGGGCGTAGTATAACCCAGGAATTTACGCTAAGGTAGTGATAAATCTTCTGCAACTATATAACATTAGCCAGTCACGTTGTTAAGTAGCCACCGTATTTTTTCTTTTTTTTTTTTTCTATTCAGTGACATTGTCCATCTTATAAAAACTATCATTGCACCCTATCGATCGGGCAGGCCGTGGGCGTTCTGTGTTGGACCAAAGCCAGGGTTCTACTTTCGGACAAAGGTGCCGTCTGGAAGGCCTGTTCTTATCTAGGAACTAGTTGCCCATAATCTATGTCTATTTGTGTAGACAAAATATATGGGGTTTTGTCTAGTTAGTAGAATACTTACTTCAACACATTCAATATGGAAAAATAATTAATTGATAAGCTATTTTTAAAACCATATTATTACCGTAATAAGGATTTTGATACAAACTATTATTATTATGGTAATTGAAAATTAGTTCAGAAAACTAAAAAGTAACATTAGTTGTATTGTCTATAAATGGCTACTGATTTTTTTTTTCTCAGTTTATTCCAAACAAACGTTGCTCCAGAGTTTCGTTGTTTTTATAATTAACAAACCGTCGGTAGTGGCCCCGCGACCTTTTGTAGTTTGTATAAATTAGAGTTCGGGCAATTGTCAGATTCTCCACTTAAGACGTGATTGTATGTGGCTAAAACACTTTCGATCAATCTCCGCTGTCTTTAGTAGCAATGAAGCGGTTAAGAGAGTAGCGCAGGGATCTCCTGAAGTCCTGCTTTTCCCTCCTTAGTTGGAGGGACAAGCCTGCCTCGGAGTTTCCTCGCTTTATTGTAAATAGTATATATAGGTATATCTGTGTTTTTTTTTTAATTATTCATTTATCTTTAAGTTATTTTATTTTATTTATTACATGAACTTTATGATTATTACGTAAGTTATTTTCCTTCTATTTATTTATTTATTTATTTTTTTACGCATTGTGTGAATGTTAGCTTAGCTCCCTATAACCAATGTTCATGTGACAGATTATTATATTATTCTTTAAATAAATAAAAAAAAAAACCAACCGCGATTATTTGGTGAGCATATTTTATTATTCATGTATTTTGATCAATTATTCTTTACGTAGGAGATCTCTAAATACTATAGGTAAATAAAGTTTGTTTTTAGGTTGTGTATGTTTGTTTTTGCTTCTAAAAATAATATTTTATTTTTTCTTTAATTTAATTACATACTCAACGTTTTGGGGCTCTGCCCCATCAGCAAGACTTACGTTTTATGGCTCCTAATATTGTCAAATAAATCTATTATATCGTTGCGCCATTTTTTATTACTATTGTTCTATTAGGAACATTACTCTGGATCCTTGCACTGTTTAGTGTAATAGTTATATTTGCTACCTCGAAGTTTTAAGGGAAATTAATTATAATAATCGGTCCATAAAAATTTATAACATTAGTTCTCTTACTTCTTCTGACCTACTATAACTTCGATGATAAATCTCTGATGTTTTTTTTTAGTAAAGTTACTTTTACAACTTGTCTTAGAGTTCAGCTCAGATCATTTTTAATGGTCAAACTAAAAAATGAGAAATAATTAAATTTATATGAAATATGGTTGCTTAGTTTTCTAGAATAAAGAAAACTTCGTTTTCTGAAAAGATCTTCATTGAATGTTATAGTGGAAGTGTCAACTCAAGTTTATCCGGTGCTGAATCCGGTGCTTGCAATCTTTGTTTTTTTCCAAAAAGTAAAAAAAAAAAAAACCCATCCACCTGAAATTCAACCCCATTTTTATGAAATAGGATTTCAAATATTAATAGTTGTCTTCAGTATCTAAGTATGATGGTAATAAGATTTGAAATTTCCTGTTCTTTTACATTCTCATATTCTTAAACTTGGATAAGTTCACTATTAATCCGAACTAAAGTGTATTTTTTTTAAAACTTTTTATAAGCAAATTGTGCCCAAATTTGTTTTGAAGTTTTTAAAATATATTTTTAAAATTTTTGTTTGTAGAATTAATTAAAAAAGACAAAGTCGTCAACCGAGCTACTGATATTAATGATTATCTAGTTTTAAAGAGTTACGAGTTTCCTGTGATCAAATGTCACTTCGTTGCAGTGAAACGTGAGATGCGGATTGGCTGTACTATTAAAACATTTTTCACATTTTTCTTTTCATTTTTTAATTATTTCTTGAATTTTTTTTTTATTGTAATGTTAATCGAAAACAACTAATCATTAACAAAATAGCACTACTGTTATATTGTTTTAGAAAACGAACAGAAACAGTTAAAGTTAAAGTGTGTACTTAAAATGCACACAGCCTCTTTCCAAATAGACGTTTAATAACATTTATGTTGAGTAAGTATACTTTCGAGTGTGTTCTTTTTTTTTCTCTCAAAGGAGACGAAATTTTGCAGACATTAATATTAATGAGTCGTTCTCGAAAGACTAAGTTAAACGGACTGAAACAAAAGGTAGTTTGTAAACCTCTTTGGCAGACCATTTGCGAAAGAATGGCACGTTATAGAATTGCGCCGGCTTACAGGAACCCTTTTCCATTTCCCCAGGAGGTTAATACAATTTCCTCTTTGAGAACACATTTGTTGAAGCTTATACGGAGGAGATCATAGAAATTCTAAAACCATAGGAAAACGCGACTAGAAATCGAAAGATGGAGATTAATTTTAGTAACAAACTAGTTAATTAAATAAATTTTTAGGTTAAATGGTAAATTCATTCTATTCAATGAAACATATTATATAATTATATATATATATATATATATAATGTATTATTTTTATGTAAAGTTATCTAATAATAAGTGGAACATGGTTAACTCGCATTATTTTTTATTTATTTTTTCCCTTCCTTGGAAAATCTCGATTGTTTGTTAATAGTCAGAGGATATCTAAAAAATTAATTACAAAAACATATTTAATTTTAAATACTAAAGTTTACATCAGTTAAAGCCAAAAATATTTAAAATTTGTAGGCTATTTCTTTACAATAATTACACTTCTAGAAAAAAAAAAACTATCAATATGAAATGATGTATAGGTGGTCCTTTAAGGCAGAAAAAAAGCTGAAATTACAGGAAAAATAATGCTTTTATAGATAATAACTTTCCTATATTTTTATTAACACGTATTTGCATTTAGTAACTCTATATGCATTATAATTTATTTTATTTTCTATTTATTGATGATATTTACAACTGTATTACAAGTAAAAATACATTTAGTAAATGTGAACAAAAGAATATAAAAGCATGAAATCATTTGTTGAGAAACTACCCACTGGTAGCACTCTAAAAATGTATTTACAAAAGGAGATCTCGAGGCCATCTTCTTTTCAGACGCCTCGGAGGGTTGTCCGGGATCGAAAAGGAAGCAAGGTTATAAACGAGAGGGTTAGGATGGTTGTGAAGTTTGTTATGGAAGGAAAGGTATCTGGATTGGACCAGGTCAGAAACATACGGAACATTAAGGTCGTTATGGATGATTTTGTTTGTGACGAAGTAAGGAGCTGTGAGGATTTTACGAAGGATTTTGGATTGTAAGGATTGGATACGAGAGGAATTCGATGGCTTAGTGGAGCCCCAGTGCTCAATTCCGTTAGTCCAAATAGGTCTTATTGTAGTCCTGTATATGAGTCTTTTGTAATTGACTGGGAGCTTAGAGCGTTTGTCTAGTAAGTGCTGGAGTAGTCGGAAACGTCGAGCTGTTTCTTGTCGTTTCAGTCTGGTATGATTCCAAGTTAGACGTTTGTCTAAGTGGAATCCAAGGTATCGAATTTGTTGCATTATAATTTAAAAAGATAATATATTGTGATCGCTTAAGTGATTTGCTTAGATCACTCACATAAACAATTTTGGACCAATGAAAACAAAATTATTTCTCATTTAGGGGGCTTCAGAACGAATCCTCCCCTCTCCCCTGTTCCACAAGCTGTTCCAGGAACATAAATCTGTTTATTGAAATTTTCCAACAATCTCCTCATTGTTAGAAATATTATCTCTATTACTTGGAGGTGTTGATGGAAGTTTTGAGTCTCAACTCTTTAAAACTAAAGGCTTAACATCTTCCGGGTTGATCTTTCCGAGTATACTACCACGATTCCGAGGCACTCAGATATTTCTTCATTGATATGCAAAATATCGCTCCTTCTGCGTCCTTCATTTTATTCAACAAAATTATACTCATGTCTTAGTCGATTTTCTTAGACACGTGATTGTTGTGAACTAATGTAAGGATATTTAGTTGATACCACATCCTTGAATAAATTAGGAGCTGCAAACCACATCAAAAGGCATCGAATTAAACAAGGATATAAACTGCCACGACTGTTGGATATATTTAGCTGTTGGCATCATCTCTTCACCGCACAAGGTCGATCCGAGGAAAGTGTTGGAGTCGTGATAATTATTAAAATCAAAAGTAGTTTTATAGTTACCCAATCCCAATTTTCCTCTTGGTTATTGTTCTTAATTTTCCCAGTTCAGAGGGAGACTTGTTGGGAGGGCAGGCATAGCGGTTCCCCAACGAACCGACAAACTCGCGAACCTGCCGCAACGTGACCGCGCCGCGATGGCGAGATAAGATAGCGGCAGGCAGGGCGGATCGTGCCCGCCGACAGATCTGCTCTCGACTTGGGCTAATTGTAGCAAAGCCCTCTCACGACGTTGGAGCCCCGGAGCAAACTGATGAGTCTGAGCTGCTCTTGGGACTTTGGCGTGGCTTTCTAAGCTCGTGGTTGGCTTATGCGTTTGTAAAAGAAAAAGTTCTGGGTTCAAGGTTCAATTGCCGATCTCACTAACACAGCCATTTATAACTCCCTCCTTAAAAAAAGGTCAAATTTGAGACTCCGACCTTCTCCTCAGAATTAGTTTACTTGTCGGTTCAGAATTAGTTATAATTTTAAAGATTCGTTCATTTTTAAACCCAACAACTTCTCATTTGGAACTATTTACTTCATGTGATGTGATGTGTCGCTGGCGTGCATAAAACTAAATGTGACTAGTATAATGTGGAATAAGTGCTTAAACTCTGAACTTGTATGAGCTACTCATAACAGAGCATGATTCTGAACATTACCATAGCTATTGCGAACTCACTGAAGATTTTAAAATGAGAATCCCAGACAAGTTTTAACTTTTTTCGATAAATACATCAGGAAAATAACAGTTCGGAAAAACGAACTACTTTGCATTTTCCCCATATTTGCAATAACATAAATATCTTGTTCTCGCCCCTTAAATCAGGGTTAAGTGCATTCTACTAAATTGAGTTTTTTATAGTAATCGGCGTGAAAAAATAGCTTTGATTGCAATATCTAAAATATAAACTATATATTTATAATATAAATCGTATATTAAGGAAAAAAAAGGAAAAATTAATTTTCGAACATATTTTATTACAGTAATTTAAAGTTAATCTTTGTAAAATTACTCTGCACTCATTCTACCACTTTAGCCTTTACATTATTTAATTATTCACTTACCACAATGTCCAGTTTTAATTCTCGGCTTCGTAAATTTAGACTGCATATATCTATAAGTGCTTATGCGTTTTTGATTATAACGTATGTATGCGAAGTCAATTTAAAAAATTTTTTTTTTTTCATGGGATATTCATCTGAATAGTAAAGCCATTTGCATGAGCTGAATCCCAGGTCATTTACCTGTCAAGAGTCCAAGGTACTGTAATATGTCATTTTGTGAATTGTCAAGGTTAACGGAAAGCATCTTGTCTGAACTTAACGTGACATGTTGTGAGACTTTTCCTGTTTTCCTCTCAAATTTATATTAATATTTAATTTATATTTTTGCCGAATTTTTTTTAGGATTATGTATAAAATAATTGTTCATATTAAATTGAATCAGGATTACTCTCTCCAAAATAATTAAATAATAACGATAAAAAAAAAAACCTTATTCGACCTTTGTTATTAAAATGCAAACATAATATTTTATATAACGGTATGAATATACTCTCTGGACTCTATTATAAGTGCCCTTAACTGAGATAGATTGTAATATTTATCAATAAAATGTTAAAAAATATATATATATATATATATATATATATATATATATATATATATATATAATATATATATATATATATATATGTATGTATATTTTATATACTTTATGTACTCTGATATAAGAAATATATTTTTTTAATCCACAGCTTAGTCGAAATTCCTCATCTTAAAAATACCTGACCCGATGTTGCCCCATATTGGGCGGCCATATTGCCCATCTATTTTCGAAGCTGACGGATATTCTTTGACTATTTCAGACACTTTTATAACTCTCTCAAAATAAACAACTTTTACCCATTTATTTGATCGAAATTTAAATTAAATTTATGTTCTGTACATACATGTTGCTCCGTTGTATCGTACTATATCGTAAAAATAAGAATGAGTTTTGTTCTTTCCGATGATTTATGACTGAAATGTGGGAAGAGCAAACGTGGTCTTCCATTTAAAAATCTATTTCAGTTTAGAAAAGCCATAACGTTCGGACAGTTGAAAAATTCCTGTTATTTTTAAGTTTAAAAAATGTCTACCATACATCATTATTTTAAAAATAAAACTTTTTATTAATCAGCACTTAAGAAACACGCCTATACACGTGTCTTCTTCACTTCATGTATATGATTTTTATCTCATTTTTTTTAATATATTTAATATTTTAATCAGTTCTTTAAATTTTTAAAAACTTGCCTTACTTTTTCATCCTACGTTATTTTTCTCTAAAATCAACGATTCTGATATTAGTATTTTATTTATGCTGCTCTCAGGAAATATTTTTAAATTCTGCTTAGTAGTTACAATTAAAAAAATTCGATGTATAAGATTTTTTGTATTAATATCTTTCATATTTCCTTTCTATTGTTGTTTCCTTTTCGAAAGAACATATTTACTTCCATATTTTCAGATTAATAATGACAAATAATGTTCTCCTTAGCAATGAGGAAAGTTTAAAACATATTTATTTATTCCTTTAAAAACAATTAAGGGGAAAATCCCACAAAAATATGAGAAACAAAATTTCTGCAAACAATGGCTGCGCATAATTCAACTCAATTAGAAAACAGGTGATAATATCCCGTATTTTACGAGGTTATTAACCCCTATTAACTAAATAACCTAATCCATGACGTTTATAACGCATAATTATGACGAAATTATTGCATAATTGTTATCTTTAAAACTAATAGATAACTCTTATGATAGAATTTCTATTTAAATCATTTATTCTTTTAAAAAAAAATCAATTTTATTTTTAAATGATTCTTATTAAATTCTAGTTTGATATTAATTTTTAAGAACAGATAACAAATTAATTATTTGATGGTTATTTAATTTCTTTATTTTTTTTATGAGAATGTCATTTTAAATACTTATACGTATTAAATGAATATAGCTATTACTTCTTCATTTATTTTTATTAAATAATTCGCAAACGTTGTATATTAAAGATATAACTTGAAGCTAGAAAATGTTATTTTTAATTGAATTGAATTGCTACCATCTCTTCTTATTTTTTT